TGTGCACACAGTGGAGTATTGACACTCAGTGGGCTGCACACAGAACATGGTGTGCACACAGTGGAGTATTGACACTCAGTGGGCTGCACACTGAGAACATGGTGTGTGCACGCAGTGGAGTATTGACACACAGTGGGCTGCACACAGAGAACATGGCGTGTGCACACAGTGGAGTATTGACACTCAGTGGGCTGCACACTGAGAACATGGCATGTGCACACAGTGGAGTATTGACACTCAGTGGGCTGCACACTGAGAACATGGCGTGTGCACACAGTGGAGTATTGACACACAGCGGGCTGCACACTGAGAACACGGCGTGTGCACACAGTGGAGTATTGACACTCAGTGGGCTGCACACTGAGAACATGGTGTGTGCACACAGTGGAGTATTGACACACAGTGGGCTGTACATATAGAACATGGCGTGTGCACAGTGGAGTATTGACACACAGTGGGCTGTACACTGAGAACATGGTATGTGCACACAGTGGAGTATTGACACTCAGTGGGCTGCACACTGAGAACATGGCGTGTGCACACAGTGGAGTATTGACACTCAGTGGGCTGCACACTGAGAACATGGTATGTGCACACAGTGGAGTATTGACACTCAGTGGGCTGCACACTGAGAACATGGCATGTGCACACAGTGGAGTATTGACACACAGTGGGCTGTACATACAGAACATGGCGTGTGCACAGTGGAGTATTGACACACAGTGGGCTGTACACTGAGAACATGGTATGTGCACACAGTGGAGTACTGGTCCTGGGAACGAAGGTAAGAGGCTGACTGTCAGGCCCAGCGTGGCGTTCCTGAGTCAGGCAGGCCCTGTGCCCCTCCTCCTAGACTCCCTGAAACCCTGTCTGCTCATCCTGGCTACCCAGGACCCAGCCCCGCCCTCAGCCGGGGAAGGTGATAGGAAGAGGAGCTGAAGGCAAAGCCAGGGAGAGTCTGGTACAGCAGTCAGTGCAGTGGTACCCAAGACAGCACAGGACCCCTCCCCTCCTTCAGGCCCAGTGACCTAGTCTCAACTGGGACTGAGCCCACCCACCGCACCCCCAGCCCTAGAATCTGGACTCCTCCAGGAGACCTGCCCACGTTGTAAGCATTCCCAAGAACTTGAAGTTAAACAGAGCTCAAACAAGGGCACACACGTAGTCGGAATCACTGCTCAGTGCACACAGTGCACACAGCACACCACAGATAATGTGGCACAGTGCCCAGTCATGCTTGTCTGCCTGCTTTTCTCACAGTGCTGATGGACACCTATGCTTACAACTTAGCCTCCTTGTGAAAGAGGAGGACACACGGATGCGCCTCCTCCCAGGCTCTCCAAGAACATCATCCGCATCCACTAGTCCATGAGCGGGAGCACAATGGTGAGCACTCAACCAGGAGGAGAGCACTCACTAGGAGAGGATACGCACCAGGAGGAGAGCACTCACTACCAGGAAAAGAGCACTCATGAGGAAAAGAGCACTCACCAGGGTGAGGAAGCCGTTGTAACAATGGTTTACAGCATTCCCTGGCCTCCTACAATCACCCCAAATATGTCAGTATACCAGGATGAGATCTGGAGGACAGATAGCTGCCTCAGTGACATAGCATGGGAACAAGCCCTACTTAGGCCCAAGTGTCTCCCTAGACATCACCCTTACCAGCCTATCCCTCCGGGCTGCTTACCGAGGTATTCAGGACTTGCCAGGCCTCTCTGCGCCCAGGTATCTACCCAGACATCTCACAGGGCACATACAGTTCACCTGCCTGTTCTGCTGCTACTGCATCTGTAGAGAACTTCTGGAACAGAAGTGGAAAAGTCCTTCCACTGTCTAAGAAATGAAGTTCCAAGTCCTCATGCTGGAAAAGATGGTAGTGTTTCCCCCCAAGTCTTCCATGGCCAACATCCTTCTGGAGGGCAAGGAAAGGTCAGAAACAACCTCCCACACCCCATCAAGTGTTGCAGATAGCAGAGTTTTGCATAACCTCTTCCCCTAAACCCCTTCTGAGCCCACAGGCACAATCTCCACAGTTATTTGAGCCAGAACTGTCTGTTTCCAAAGGGAAATGAGGCATATGAGCATTCCACCAGGTCCATGTGAGAGCTGGCCTGCATCCAAGCACAGAACTGGCCACAAGAAGAGGTGGTCAGCAACCCGGTAGCACAACCTCCACAGGAACACCCACAAAACGTATGGCCTCTGGGAGTCAGAATCAAGGCATGCAAAGGCAGGACAAGGGCAGTGGTTAAACGTGAACAACAGCCAGTCCACCACTCCTTCTGACTTACAGCTACATATCCACGATCAACAAGCCTCACAAAAACTAAACCTCAGATGAAGATTAAGGAAATTCTAGAACACAGGGAAGACTTCAGGAGTCAACAATATGAACACCAAAATGTTCCAAATCCAAGATAGAGAATTAGAACAAGGATCAAAGCAAAGGAATCCCTGGTGCTGACGCACTGAAAGGTATTAACACTTAAGTGGTATGACATCCTAAAAATGGCCACAACAAAGAAAAATTGACACAAGTATCAATCTTTGCAAGAAAAGTCATTTTTGTTACTGTTGTTGAAGTCAAGGGCAAACTTGTATGCCTAATTTATGTCTCTGTGTTAACAGAAGTAGAAAAGGCCCATCTGGAGCATAATTCAAGCTCAGAGCAGGCTAGACAGAGGGAGAAGAAGAGCAGAGGTACGGTCAGATGAATAAGGTTTTGCAGCCATTGTAGGATCTGGTTGTTCCTTCCTGCTACAAAATACAAATTCCACAAAATGTTCAATTTTTACTTTGTAGTTTGCAAATATACAAAATAGAAGTTTGCTTAAATTTACATATTTATTAAGGCGAGGAACTATGTAACACGTTAGCTCTGCTTAAGGCATACTTAGGAATAAACCATTGTACAAGTTACTGTGCCTCTGAAACCACAGTTCATAATAGACTGTCTACATAAAAAATGTTAAAGTAAACCAAGTATAACTTAGTCATACATGTAGATTGGAAGACAAAAATAGAGTCCTTGTCAAAGCATACAGCAGTTTGAGAACTTTGGCTTCCTCTTTTGGTACCTTTAGAACTGAGACTCATCGAGCACCTTCATTTAGGCTATTAGAACACATTCTGTACAGGAAATTTCTTCCTCTTCTTTTAACTGAGAAGGCAAAGGGAATACAAGGTGATCTTGATAGTTATATTGCATCTGATACAATCTGTGAGAGCCAGAGTGGGAGGCCACAAGAGGCAGGCCTCCTGGAGCGGGGCAGAGCAGAGGCCAGGCCTGTGGAGAGGGGAGCCCTGTGGGATGGAGAGGCCTGCTGGAAGGAGAGAGAAGCCCAGGACAAGGCGGTTACAGACCAGCTAGTAAAACTCCTTTGTCACCTTTGGCTGTGCCTCCATGGATTTTCCCTCCTCTGAGGTCATTACAAATTCAAGGGAATTCTGGTCTTCCCTCCCCCCTCTCCCCCCGCCCAACTGACGGATCTAATGTATACCCCATCATCCACAGCTTCCAGTCATCCCCATGGCTGTGTTTTGTAAATCCAGGTATATTCAAGTTGATTTAGAATTGGAATGATAGCAGATACAGTCTCAGACCCATCTGTTCAATTTTATTTTTTAATTTTACCTTTGGATTCCTCCTTTCTCTTGATTATCCATTCACAGGCAGACATTGGAAACTTGCCCATGGTTGTAGTGCTTTGCCAACATGAGCTTTCCCCCATGGGAAGACAGTATGAAGGATTTTCTTCTGGCAGTATGGGTCTCTGTATCCGCAGTCTGGGATTTAACAGTGTCTCTGTGTGTCAGGCCAGGAGACCCACCTGGACAAGGCCGTCTCTATGAGTCAGGCCAGGAGACCCACCTGGACAAGGCCGTCTGTGCATCAGGCCAGGACACACACCTGGACAAGGCTGTCTCTGTGTGTTAGGCCAGGGGACCCACCTGGACAAGGCCGTCTCTGTGTGTCAGGTCAGGGGACCCACCTGGACAAGGCCGTCTCTGTGTGTTAGGCCAGGGGACCCACCTGGACAAGGCCGTCTCTGTGTGTCAGGCCAGGGGACCCACCTGGACAAGGCTGTCTCTGTGTGTCAGGCCAGGGGACCCACCTGGACAAGGCTGTCACACTTGTGGCACTAGAATAGCAGCACCACTAGTGTTTCCATTAGTGCCTGGTCAGTTCATCAGAATGGGCAAACTTCTACCCAAAGCCATCCCAGTCACAGTGGTAAGGTAAGGTGTCTCACCTGTATGGGTTCAGAGATGCACCTTGAGAGCTCCTTGGATAGGTTTGGCTGCAGCCCATGCACTCACATGAGTGGGTGGCCTTTGCATGGCCATGACCTTCTTGCTTGGCTTTGGCTCCTCTGGCAGGTAGGAACCAGGTCGTCTGCTTGGGCAGGCAGGGTGGGTAGTTGGGCCCTGGATGGGCATGGGAGCCAGGGGGTAACGCAGGGTGGGGTGAGAGTCTCTGTTGACTATCAGTTCCTCGTGACAGGCTCGGGTAGTCCTACTGGGGAGCTGCTGCCCCAAGGACAATTCCTGTGTGCTGGGCTGTGGCTGTTGCTGAGTTGGGGTCCTGCACCCAAGTGGGCTTCCAGGCGTTGGCCAATGGTGACAAGGAGACTGTGGCCTGTCATCGTAGGGCACTGCCACCACTGGGTGACCACCTTCAGGGCTGCCTTTGCTGACCCTGATGGCCGACAGGCTGCCATGCTCCCTGCCAGGGGTGAATAAGCCCATTTTATAGAGAGGAATTACTATTCTTCAGTGCTAAGGCTGGCATTGGTGGAAGGTCACAGGGCTGGAAGGTGGACACTGGGATTTGTACTCTGCTCATGCAGCTTTAAATTGAGTCTCAGACTTGAGCACCGTCCACTGCAGGGCTGGTTGGAGCAACAGCTGTGGGGTTCCTCCCTCAGGATCTTGGACTCAGAGTGTGTCTGCAGAACCCACTCTGCCCCGTCAGCTTCTCCCTTGGGTAGCCTCCATCAGGGTCTTTGGTTGAGGGCCAGGCTCTGCCTGCTGCCGGCTTGCAGGCTGGCCTGCTCTGCAGCCAGCAGAAGCTCAAAGTGTTTCATGTACATGCACACCAGAGACTCTAATGCATCTGGGCCCACATCCTGAGGGCCACTGCCCAGCAGAGAGCACAGCGGAGCCTCAGAGACCTGGGAAGACCTCTCTTGGATTGCCGGCTCTGTTCCCTCTTCCTTTTCATCACACTGTCACAAACCCATGTGTGCTAGACCAAGGAGTGGGTGGCTGGCAGTCCCCAATGGGACTTCGTTGCTGTACTCTAACACACTTCTTCATGCCACATCCTGGGCTCGCTGCCCACTGGTGGCAGTGCTAGATAATCAGGCCACCACTTCGGGACAAAAGGAGCCCTCCTGCGGTTTGGTGCAAAGGGTACATGTCCAGCGCTTGTGTTGCTAGACATGTCCTCAATAAGGGGTCAATAGTGTACTCTCTGGGGCCTCTTCTTCTCTGGGAATGGTCAGTCCTTGCTTTATTCACAGGAGTGGCATCTTAGTCAGATCCAGGAGATGTGCAGCCTGGGAGTGTGCCTGACTTTCATGTAGAGACTTAGATGACTGAGCCAGCCATGGGTGGACAGGGAACTGCTTCTGCAGCCAAGTTACCTTGATGAGTTCTTGCTTAGAAGATGGCCTGGCTCTAAGCAGATCTCAAGGTGAAAGCAAGAGTAGATGGGCTGGGCCACATCTGTAATCCTCACACTTAGGGGGAAGAGACAGGCGGTAGAGAGCAGCTGGAGGTCAGGCTTTAACGCTATAGTGAGATTGTCTCAACAGAAAGCCAAGGGCTGAGCAGGTAGACCAGTGGTTAGAGCAGTTTTCTATTGTGTGCAAGTGTCTGGGTTCAATTCCCAGCATTCTGAGGACACCATGGACACAGGGTCTGTTTCCTGACCTCCTTTCAGAGGTACAGGATCTAGCCACTTGGTCAAGATGCTTTGCACCCAGAAATACACCAATACTACCTCAGTCCTGCACTGCCGGTGAGCCTTCCCCGATCTGTCTGCCCACTGATGTGGGCCAAGTCATCGCTCCTGCTTCCCCACCACTGTGGCATGGGACCCTGCCCTGTCTGCTCCTTCTCAGGATTGTGGTGACTGGCACAAGCCATGCTTCTCAGGTAGAACCAGACGTGTTTTTGAACAGTTCCTTGGACCTGTTAGTCAGGCCCTGGACCTCAAGGAATCTGCTGTTCAGATGTGGATGTGTGGGGACTGACAAAGCCACAGCTGAGGGCAGAGACAGGGCCTGCGTCCCAAGGCTCCTTCCCCATTGGCACTTATCTCTGGATTACACCCAGCCATGTCCTCTGCTGCTCTGATCCTGGAGGTAGCTAGCACTAGGGGATCACACTGTATGTCCCTGGATGCTGAGATGTAGAGATTGCTGAAGCATGTCCCCCGGAGTTGGGGGGGGAGGCTTTCTGGGTAAATGCTAAGGAAAGTATTGGGTCAGGTTGGAGAAGGCCTTAAGCTGCTGATGGGCATGGCCAGGGGTGGCCAGAGCCTGCCTTTTAGATTCTGAGTCTATTCCTAGGTGTGGAGTCAGTTGTACTTTACTCAGATGTTATAATTTAAGGAAAGAGTGGTTTTCTAGTTTTACTTCTGCTGTCCACATGGAAAGGACTCGGGTGATTCACATCCTTTCCAATGCTTAGTATTGCCAGAGTTCTTAATTATGGCCAACCAAATAGCTGCAGAGTAGCATTTCCCTGCTGGCCCTGACATGCGATTTTGTAACCACCACCCATGTTAATCACCTTTCTGCATGCTTGCTGGCTGTTGGCATTGCCTTTTCTCAGAGACATCTGCTTGCATCTTTGCCTTTTTCATTTGTGTGGTGTTTGCTACTTTATTGTTCAGTGGGTATTCAGTGTCCTTGAGATGAGTCAGGTGGAGGGGTATGGGCATCTGCCTTGCACTCTCCTTTCTTGGGAGACATTGAGGCACCCTTGCCAGACAGAGTGGAGGAGCTATGTCACCCCAAGGGGGCACTTGGGCCCCTGCAGTTCTGTGGGGTTTGAGAGTGGCAGGATGAGCAGAGGCCTGAGTCAAGACAGGCCTGGGTCAAATTCTGCTATGTTACTGACTGCTGGCCGGGTCTGGTTAGCACTTAGCCTCAGTTTCTTCTTTTGTAAAGAGCTAGTAAGAAAGCCCCCTCCCAGGGGAGTTTGCAGTCTCTGCCAGGAGGAGGGGGTACAGCTAGTAGCATCTCCCAAAGGTTGATCTTGTAGGTGACAGCAAAGGGACATGCTTTGAATCCTTGTGAACCTGCTACCTGGGCAGGCTGATTCCCACTGTCTGTGTGGATAAGCAGCTCCTGTTTCAGGGATGAGCTTGCCAGGGAGAGAATGGATATCCCAGGACCTGACCTGCAGCTAGGGGGATATTTTCTGCATGTGTCATGCCTGTCTTCACCTGTCATTTCCTGCCTGCTCCAGCACCTTGACAGAGCCGGTAATGGCCAGCATCTGTTATCACTGGGTGTGCATTAGGATGTGATGGGCTAGCCAGTGAGGAGTCACCTTGCCACAGCTCTGAGCAGGGTAGGGCTGAATCTGAGTTGTTCTACGGTGGTCTCTGGCATTGCCACAGGGTTTCTGAGGTAGTGAGATCTGTCTCTGGATTGTTCCCATCTCTCTTGCCACAGGGCTGCAGCCCAGATGTGCTTATAGGGACTCTTGGTCAGCAGGAGGCTGCTGTTAGCCCCGTTCCAGTGTGGCCTCCTTTGGTTCTCAGGTCAGGAGCCCCTCTGGCCACTCCACACTCAGAGGAGCCAGGCCTCATCCTTTCCTGCTCTGCTTGGTGCCAGCCATTGTGAGGAGCCTCTGTTGGCATGGGAGAGGACAGTCCATCAGGAGTGCTGAGTCCCTCCTGCTTACCTGTGATCCTGCCCATGGTTCCGGCTGGACTTGAGGTGGTTGGGTTGGGTTGTGGGCTGAAAGATCAGCTACCTTCTCGAAACAGAGCCCTTGGCCTATCTGGAGGGACAACTTGGCCCTGTCTGATAGCCTGGTAGCTGCTACCCAGCTCTGGCTCTGTTGGCTCAGTGGGAGTGGAGGCCATGGTGCAGGTGAGGAAGGTCCTACAAGCCCAAGGAGGACATGTGGCCTGAGCCTACCTCTGGCCTTTGCATTTTTGTCTTACAAGCTTAACTGTCTCTGGTCCTGGAGGAGCTCAGAGTCCAGAAGCAGAGAGATGACACAGTAAGTCCCGACACACTTGCTTGTCACTAGTGGCAAAAGGCAGCCCAAGGTGTAGGCTGTCAGGCATCCTGGACCTCAGACATGCAAGAATTCTAGTCCTATGCCATCAGGACCTGTCCTGCAGGCAGAGAGCTTATGTCATGGTAAGATACAGTGTGGCAAGTGCCAGGTGGGCTTGCCATGGAGACACTCTCCCAGGTCAGACTGCTGAGTGGGGTGGGCAACTTCACCTACCCCTACCAAGTGCTGAAATAGCATTTTGTAATTAGTTGGGAGGAGGATGGTGGAAAGACTGCATAAGCAGGGTACAGAGCAAGATAGCTGGAACTGAGTGGTGAACACAGTACTGCAGAATGAGGAACAGGAGCCTGGAAACAGTTTACAAGGAGCCTTGTTGAGGTTTAAGTGAGTTCAGTGGGCAGTTGGAGACCAAAGGCAGAGAGATTAGTGTTCAAGGCTAGGACTTACAGGGGCTTGGAGGGTCTTGAGGACCCTGAGGTTGAGGTAGCAGAGGTAGGATTTGGCGTGGCTGTACGGGGTGGTGGATGCAGGAGCGTGAGGGGTGGGACGTGAGGGAGTGGTGGCATTCTGGCCTGTGCCGGCGGCATGCGTGAAGAGGGAAAGTAGAGGGAAAGGGCATCTGAGGGCCGGCTGGAGTCTGGGGCCAGGCCCTTGTATTGGGCCACTGAACCAGATGTGCTCAAAGTCTCTGAGTGATGAGCCTTTTCCAGGGTGCCCCTACATATGTGCAGGCATTTGATCTGTGTAGATCTGTGGTCCCATTGTATGTGGTCAGGTGGTATTGGCCCAGATCACTGGACAGGAATATGGACACCCTTTGCCCATAGGTCAGCTCTGAGGACCAGCAGAGTGGAAGGAAGATCTGCACTGTGCTGATCCTCCTTTTCCAAAGCCTGAAGGATCAGACACAGCAGGCTGAGGCACGGCTGTCAAGGACGTGGGATGGGGTTCCTCCGTGGTAGCATTTGAGGGTGTGAACTTGAGGTAAGCTGGGCAGTACTGCTTGTTGGCCACACCAAAGACTTCATTTTAGACACAATACAGGAGGCCTGGTGGCATTAGCTGGTGAGTTCTTTTTTTTTTTTGTCGGTCGTGGGGCTTGAACTCTGGGCCTGGGCGCTGTCCCTCAGCTCTTCAGCTCAAGGCGAGCGCTCTACCACTTGAGCTACAGCGCTACTTCCGGTTTTCTGGTGGTTTATTGGAGATAAGAGTCTCACAGTCTCTCCTGCCCAGGCTGGCTTTGAACCGCGATCCTCAGATCTCAGCCTCCTGAGTAGTTAGGATTACAGGCGTGAGCCACCAGCGCCCGGCAGCTGGTGAGTTCTTGTTCCCATCGCTCAGCTCCATGGAAGGGTGGCTTGGCCAGCCCAGCACGGTGAGTCCCATACAGGGCCCATTGTCCTTCCTCCTCTGGGGCAGGTGGGAGGTCTCCAGACGGATGGGCAGCAGAGGACGGGGTGCTAGGCGATCCAGAGCCCTCATTCCCCTTCGCATGTCACTGACACCGGGAGGGTCTTTCTCCCCCTACGAGCCCCGAGGCCGACCCTTCTCTCACCAGCCAGACAGCAGCCCCGTAAGTCCATGTGTTATGGTACTGACCAAGACACCCCAAAAGCCTCCACAGAGCCACAAATAGCCCAAACAGCAATGGAGAACCATGCCCCTCCCTCCCACCCTCACGCTTCTTGCTGCCCATATGCCATCCCCCACCCTCCGTCTTTTCAGGCCTGTGCACATAGGAGATGGCCCCAGCTGGCAAACACCAGCTGACCCTCCACCTGCCTCAGTGTGACCACTAGGCACCTGCGTTGGCCACTCACTTGGGTGAGTGTGTGTGCACACTGCTTCCCACACAACACACTAACACTGGGTCGGGCTTGGAGACAGTCACACAGGGCTTTCTCTGTGATCACCACAACTCCCTCCCTCTTCCAGATATCCTTGGTGGGGAAGTCACAGA